TTATTTAATCATGTGATGTCCCCGTAAAACAGGAAATGACGTAAGGAATTGCATAATAAATGTAATAAATATCTTTCGAAGTATCTGGTTAGGTTAATGCAAGTCACTTCGTCATCTTATAAGAATGGTGACAAAATAAAAGTAGGAAATAACGAAAACAATTACAAAAGTAAATAGAAAACAGCGTTTTGGTTGTTGGGTAAAATAGGACTGATGTTTGAACGAATCAGTCAGTTAATTAACCCTGACAAGTCAGACAGAGAGATATGTGGCGATGTAAACGTATACCCAGTTATAAGCCAGATAAAGAGTGACAAGTAATGATGTAAACGTACATACAGTTATGAGTCAGAGAGAGTGACGAGTGACGATGTAAACGTACACACAGTTATGAGTCGGAGAGAGAGACGTGACGATGCAAACGTACACACAGTTATGAGTCAGAGAGAGAGGGAAACACGTGACGATGTACACATACAATTATGAGTCAGCTGCGCACACACACACACACACCAACATAACTCTGACATGCTAGTGTAACTGTAGTGTTCTAGCGTTTTGACACTTATTTTAAAATGTCGGAAGGACGACACATGACGACAATGGACGGATTTCTAAATCTACTTCTCGTGATAGAAATAATATCGACGCATAAATCTACTCGGAAGGACGACGCGTGACGGGTTCGAGTTTAGAATTCCAAAATTCGTATCGAGGCGATTTAACGTAAACGTTATCATTATTCTGAGCATTGCGACACGAATAAACTCTGTTTTGGAGTTTTGAATGTTTCAAACACCGGGACTGCGGAGTTAAGATTCACTCAAAGGTTTCAGTGAATGTAAACATAACCTCAAGTTTCGGATTCTTATTCTTACTTACATTAACGAGACTCGGTTTGTTGATTACAGGACACGTGATTATCTAATAAAGTACTTCCGTGCCAAAACGACTTTATGATAAATTAGAAAAACGCTTTTCTCGTACGTAACTGACTGATAACATAACTTTTCCTTGTGCGAAAGGTGGTTGACAATTTCGTAACGTGTAGAAATGTGTTACTTCTGTCCTTAGAAGGAAATTCATCATTCTTCTTACCCGCGACTCTTGGTTTCAAAATTTTGCGCCAAGGTATACAAAGATTGTGCGCTTGCCGTTCCTACTTTTAAACTGGCAGACTAGAGGAAAGACAGTTTATCAACAGCAGCCACTGTCAGCTCAAAGTGACCCCTATAATGCACTTACTGCCCCTATATATGGAGTACAATATTTTGCGGCAACGGTACGCGAACAATGAACCCTCGGATCTACAGCACACCACTAGGCCAGATTCGTCCCCAAACGAGTCTTTAAAATAATAAAAAGATATAAAATATCACGATAGTATTCTACATGAATATAATATAATATTACGTGTGCAAGAGCCTTCGATGGTCATCACGTTTATTTATTAATATTTCACAACAGAGGGCTCTGCTGGGCTGTAAACATTTTCAGTTTTGAATGACATCTACTTTTGATAAACATAGATTGTTGTTTTAGTGTTATTATGGCCCTCGCCTTATTCTAGAGGGCAGAATATTGAATACCTGGTTTTAATTTATGCAGTACTTTAGAATTTTATGCTACGAACTGTAGAATATCTCAATGAAATGATACTTACTCCCCAGGATGTTGTGTTCTTCAATTATGTTTTGAGTTTAGTTGCTTAGTAACCAGTGTCACAGACTAGCGCTGCTCGCGCAACATATAAAACTACTAAATTATTATCGGAATTCTAGTTACTTGTTGACGTTCTGTCCAAAAGTAAGCAAATCATAGCTTCTAAATTCTTCAGGTCATCTTTTTGGTAAACAGAGAGCAAGACTAATTATCGGTAACAACCGCTTCGCGCCATTACTTTTAACAAGATTGACTATAGTTACAACAACAACAAAAAATAACTGGGTATACG